CGCAGGCTGCCCTTCCAGCCGAGGGGGTGAGCCTGAAGGGTGAGCCCTCCCGCAGCTGTGTGGTGCTCGCGCCGGGCGCACGTGATGGAGGTGGAACGGAGCCCCTTCCAGCTGGACGCACTTTGGGCCTTCGCCTCAGGTGCCCCATATTTTAAGAGAATTGAAGTTGCAGGGAACATAAAAGTACAGTACACCATTTTGTGTTGATGTTTATCTTTACACGCTCTCACACACACACACACACACACACACACACACAAATATATATATATTTACTCTTGGTCCTGTGTCTGGAAGATGCGGGGTTTTTGTGATCCGGGTGATTTTGCAATGGAGCCCTCATTTCACCTGCTTTAAAAATGTCTCTGCACAGCCACTGGTCGGTTTTCGCAGTGGCCTACATTTGGGGGGAAATGTAAGTATGTGCGAAGCAGTTGTGCGCAGGCGTATTCTTACACCTGTTTATTGCCCTGAAATCGTACTTAACTGGTTGTTACAGGCGCTGTGAAGGCAATGAGGGCAACACGTGGGAACCAGCTGGCACGCTCTTCCTGCAATTAGAAGGGGTCCTAGTGCCCTTCCCCCTCCCTCTTGCCTTCAGGTCTTAACCTCTTTTAAATCGTGGTGGTAAAGGGAAGCTGTGAGGTTGAGTGCTTAATCCAGATTCTGTAGTTGGGTAGTGACAGAACCAGGTTTCAGTTTATAAGCTGAAAGTCAAGGAGCCAGATTTTAATTTATATAAAAGTGATTTTAATTTGTAAACAGGTTTGGGTATTTTCAGATAATAGTCCGCTGAAGGAAATAAACCTGATCTTTAGGGCCAACCTCAGTTTCTTTTTATTAACTATATGTGATTTAGGGTCTAGCCTCCATTCTATCTATCATTTAGCCATCCAGATTTTTAATAAACGGTGACAAAATGCATGAGAGCTGATGGAAAAACCAAAGAATTAAGAGGATGCTTAGTAAATGAAGTAGGTTTAAGGTGTTTTCCCTCATGTTAGTTTTCAGCAACTCTTAAGAATGTGTACTTAACCTTAAACCAAGCTCTTAAACTTGTTTTGCTTGTAGACGATGAAAGGCGATCTACTTATAAGGAAAGATTTTTCATTTTATAGTCAGTCACTGGAGAAAATTTATTTCTTGCTGGGGTTGATACTGCTTATGTCATGGTCCATGTGATAAACTAGTGCTAGTCTCTAAATTTTCTGTACTGATTGAGAACAATTTTTTTTCCAGTATAGAACAATGGCTCGTTGGCGATGAGTCAGTCCTCACAAGATCTTTAAGAGTTCTGAATCACTCAGATCACCCAAAAGGGACTTAACTGATTCTTTGGAAATGTGAAATTCTCCCCTGGTATATCTGGGAAGATGTTCAACCAGAATATTAACTAAGCCAAGAGGCCCGCTTCCCTGAATACTTGGGTAAATGGGAGTGTGTTATAATGGCCTTGCTCTAACCTTGCTGCCACGCCTTTAGGGTTGTGCCAAGGTCGTGCTGCTAACAGTGTATGGATGCTGACTTGCCTTGACAGCTCTAGCCCCACTGTGACTTTTTGGAAATGTATTTCCAAAATTTCTAATCCTATTGATACTGTTAATGAAGGTGCATCGTGACTGCAGCCATCATCTGGTCCGCGAGAGGTGCTTAGAACTTGCTGTTCCAACATGGCGCTGCTGAATAGTACAATGTCATTTTGAAACTGGAGACGCTTTATGGTTTGTGTTTTAATGATGTCCTCTTGGTAGAGACAACTTGCTTTTGAGTTGTTTTTCTACCCCTCCAGTTGTCCCTTGCCTTTTCCCTACCTGAAAAATAAAGGGAAGTGTTGGTATACTGAGAGAATTAGAGCATCTAATCTCACCCCTTTGTAAGGAATGAAGACACCGAGACCCTTAGAAGTGACTCCCAAATCGTAGGCCATTTATCAGAGATGTCAGGATGAGAACCCAGGACTCCTGATAGTGCCTGCTCTTTCCATATCCTTCCATTGACACTAGCCTTTTAACTTGTTATAACTTACTGGGTTATAATTTACCCATAGAAAACAAACATTTTAACTGTACAACCTGATGAATTACCGCAGGGTGAATATACCTACCATAAGCAGCCCCCAGGGTCAAGGAGCATGAGCAGCATCCAGAATCCTCTATGCCTTTCCATTCACTAGCCTGTTTCACTTGCCCCAAACAACTTTGTGAGCCTTTTGTACCGTAGATATAAAAACTTAACTGCTGTTTTTGAACTTCTTATAAAGGAATCATACAGTAAGGCCATACTGTTGGGTGGTTCCTCGAGTGGAAAAGCCTAGTTCAGTGTTAACGAGGTGATACGTGTAAAGCATGTGGTGTGGTGCCAGGGATGTGGTGCGAGCTCTCTGAAGCCAAGGTGCCCTTTACTGTCACTTGAATAGTGGCTAACCAGCTGAATGGTGTTTGCCCAACGCAGCAGGGAGGCTCTCTAATAAGGATGCTAGAATGTATTATGAACAAATATATATTCATTCAATAGCTACTGCTGTTTATGATGCAGTACATGAATTTATGTTATTGTCTGCTGAATATCGACAGAATTCCATTTCTCACCTGTGAGGAATTTTGGATAAATTGCACTTATGTATTTTCAATCAGTAATCTGTTTTACTCTGAAAATAATGTAATTTATGAAGGATTTCTTTGTATTAACCAGTCAAGGATTTGGTAAGTGCTTTAATTACATTTGACAAGTTGTATCCAGTACCTCCTATGAGAATTAAAAGGTATTAGATTGAGTGGTGTGGGTTTTTCTAGATTAGGGGAAGGAGAACTTGAACTTGCTGCTCCATTTTCTTGGTGTTTGAAGCTGTGGAATGGCCAGGCTGGGACTTGACATTGGGGAAGAGCAAGGGTGGACAGGGTGTTGGCTGGGGAAACCACCTATTAAAGCCTGGGAAGTTCTTGCCTGGCCGGGCCTGGAGCAGCGGTTGAACATCGACCTAGGATCCAGGAGATCGTGGTTCGAGTCCCGGTCAGGGCACATGCCCAGCGGTGCGGGCTCGATCCCCAGTCAAGAGGCAGCCGATCAGTGATGCCTCTCTCATCATGGATGTTTCTATCTGTCTCCCTTTCCTTTCCTCTCTCTCTCTCTCTCTCTCTCTCTCTCAAATCAATAAAAACATACTTTAAAAAAAGAAAAGAAAAAAAAAAGCATGGGAAGCTCTCAAGGCCAAAACCAGGCCACTGGTGTGCCATGGCTTTTGGAGGCAGTCTTCTACCATGGGCATTCTAGATTACGGGCGCCCAGGCTCTAAGCCTTGATCTCTGGACCCTATGTGGTTCTGCCACCACAAAGGAAGTTCTGTATTTTCTTTAAATCCACAGAAGAGAATGCTAATTACATTGCCTGTTTTTGTGTGTGTGTTTTTTTTTAACCTTTTAAAACTGATAAATATAGTGGTTAGGGTGAGGAATTTGGTGAAGTACTAACTGCTTTACTTTTTTTGTTCCATGAAGTTATAGAAAATAATCTGAATTATGCCTTGCATAATGGCCTGTGGCACTGAAAAATAATCTATTCAAATTCCATGTTTCTTGTGGAATTTGTAATTCCTTATGATGGGACTGAGATGATACTGTGGAATAGAAGTTTAACTTTATCACATCGCTGACAGTAGCTGTACACCCTTGGGCAAGTTACTTAAACAGCTTCCCCATCTCCAAAATGGGATTAATAATCATTCCTATCTAATTGGGTTGCAGTGAGGCTTTAATAAATTGCTGTATAGCAGGGCTTAGGTAGTGAGTACTGTTAAGGTTTGCTGCTATACCATGAATAAAAACAGTATTGTGTTTGTGAGTGTCCATGCCCTACCAGCACAGTGACCCTTCTCTGCTCTTGATTTTGTATTATCTCCCAGAGTCTTTCATTTCAAAGGATGTTGTAAGTTTAATGAAACA